CAGCAGCTCAGGAGGCTGAGGCAGGAGGCTCACAAGTTCAAAGTCAGTCTCAACTTGGTGAGGCCCTAAGCAACTTAATGAGACCCTGTCTCAAAATAAAACAAAAAGGACTGTGGACGTGGCTCAGTGGTTACGTATCCCTAGGTTCAATCCCTGGTAACTTTAAAAAAAAATATATATATATATATATATATATATTATATTATTATTATTATTATTATTATTATTATTATTATTATATAACAAGTGAAGATCCTGCAAATAAAAGTCCCCAAGATGACCGCCTGCTTGCTAAGTGGGGCCTGCTTTCCTGGTGGGCAGACTGTGTCCTGCTTTAACATCCATAGAAATATAACCTCAAGAAAATAGCATACTTTACCAAATTTTCCATTTTGATGTTCAAAGGAAATAGAGGACGAAGAAATAACTTAAGGTCACTGGATCATAAATAGCCAAGAATAAGACATGGATGTGTTATTTGTTCCTCCTGTGTTTTCCACTTAAGACGATAGGCCATCTTATTGTGAATCACCTGGGGTAGGGTGGCTTTACTTTAAGAATTAGTATGATTTTGTTTTTCTATGTGACTCATTTTAATTAACATTTAATCCTTAAGGGTTACAGTAGCTGAAATTTCTACTCTTAAGAGATGTTACATTTGTATTAATATTTTAGTGTAGCTCCTTAGTGTAGTTTGTGGCAGATGTTATAGTCATTTTTAGCAATGTGTAATACTTCCTGGTAAGGAACAGCAGTGTTATACTTCTCTTTTTGCAGAAGTTGAGATGCAGAGAGGAAGAGACCTGCCCAAGGTCAAAGAGTAAGTCAGGAAAGGCCCAAGATTAGACTTTAGGTTTTCATTCATTGTTCACCACTGAGAAACCAACCTGCATTTTGCTGGAAACTCCATCCTAATGGAATCTGCTTGCTCTCCACAGTGTGTTAAGCAATGTGTGTCCTACCATTCTCTAAATCAGCCTTTTAATGCTGCTTTAATGGATCCACCTTTTCCTGCCTGTGGTTTGGCATACCTCCACCTGAAGAGGGTGGTGATGATTGCAGTATGCAGAAAGAGAGAAGAGGTCAGGAAAGACTGCTCAGCCATAGCCTCTTCAGCTCAGCTGACAAACCTGTGTTTTCTTAAGCCAAAGAACCTGCAAACAAATAGCCACACCTTTCCAGTTTGGTCYTTAGGGGTAGGATCTGCATAGACTAGTGACCCTGGCTGCTCATTTGTGCTCAGATATTTGTATCATGTGCATGCAAGGCCAGCCAGTCCTAGTTGGAAGCCCTGAGGTAGGTATGAAGAGCTTTGTGGGTGATTTTGATAAACTCATAGCTAAGATCTAGACTCACCTAGGGACCACTGCTGTAGATTGAGTGAGGTAAATGATGCTGCTTTTGATGAGAAATCATGATTTGAGTGTTTAAAAAAAATAATATGAATATATAGTTTTTATTCCTTAACTGGGGTAAGAATATTACATGAATACTATAGAACCACACTTCAATACCTGCTGATTTAGTCTAGGGCTCATCATARACTGTGCTTCTCAGGGATCTTGGGACAGTTTGTACAAAATAGGGCAGCCAGAAATGGAGCCAGCTGACTATAATCACTAGATTGGGTATACTGAGCTTTATCTCAAGCTCTTTTTTTATTTTTTATTTTGGGACAGGGTGTCATAAGCTGGGGATGTAGCTACAGGAGTAGAGCAATTGCCTAGCATGTACAGATCCCTGGGTTCGATCTCTAGTACTCCACACAAGAGAAAGAGACAGGGTCTTGCCGAGGCTGGCCTAGAATTTACCATCAGTCTCCCAATTTGCTGGCATTTTAGGTGTGTGCCACTGTGCCATTGCAGCATCTTTAGCTTGAATGCAGATTATCTGCACATCTGAGAGATGTTCCTTTTTGGGAAAACTGTGGCTTCTTAGCACCCTTATTAGCCACTTTGAGGAATGCCACACTGCTTTAAAGTGGTCAGGACCAGAACATCTTAAGATGGCCTGCAGAAGCTATCATCTTCACCCAGAGCCAAGGTATGGACTTTCCTTTTCTGCTCTTCGTTGTAGATGTGACTCAGTGCAGCTGTAAAAATGGATCAAAAGTGTGTTGACACAGGAAGCAAGAACCAATAATTAAGGGCTCTTTTACTTGTTTGGAACAAACACATAGGCAAAGCCACTTATTGGTAGCTTGTAAAAACTTAAAGGTAGTAGGAAAGGGTATAAAATCTCTTTTTGTGATACAGGAAACCTCTGGTTATATAGTATATTGTTTGCAGCATTTCTATAGCCCTGAAGCACTTCTCGGTATTACTTACAGAGAACAGAACCTATACTTTGTTTGGTAAGGATTTCTGTTGTTTGGTAGGTGTAGTCAGCAGCTAATCCTTCTGAGTGACAGAAGCCTCTAGCTCTGTCACTAGTGTGGGTCACTTCCTCTTAAAAACAAGCATATTGCTTCTTAGAAAGGACCATAGAAACGCCCAAACATGGTCTTCTTAGAGCTTGTCCTGCTGGACTAGCACTTGTAGAAAGGGGTGGATTTGTCTCTAAGCCGTGGGCTTTGGCTCCCCTGCCCAAGAAGTTGTACAGTTTTGCTGCAGAGATATGGGGAGCTTGTGCTATCATGAAAATTGAAACATTCCCCCTCTCCTTTTTTTTTAATCCATTAACAGAGGTAGCATAGTGGATATGCCCAGGTTTGAAATCCAATCTTTTTGGCAAATTACTTAACCTCTGTGTACCTGGGTTTTTTTATGTGTAAAATGGAGAGTTTGTGAATCTTTTTAGTTTGCTTGCTCTTTGGCATTTTCTGTCATTACCTTAAAAACTCACCCACCAACCCAAGGATTAAGAGAGGGAAAACAAAGGCTGAGCACAGTGGTACAGGCCTATAATCTCAGAGGCTGAGACTGGAGGATTTAAAGGTCAAAGCCAGCCCTTAGTGAGACCCTAAGCAATTTAGCAAGACCTTTCTCAAAATATTTTTTTAAAAGGGCTGGGGATGTGGCTCAGTTGTTATGTGCCTTTGGGTTCAATCCTGGTATCCAAAAAAAAAAAAAGTTGTTTGGTTTCAGTATCTAGCTGTTAAGGAGCTATGTACATCATTCTCAGACTGGTGCCTCCCAATCCAGCATCTTCTAGCCATTAGTGGTCATTTAAATTCAAATTAGATTTAAATACAATGAAAAATTTATTCCCATAGTCATTCTAGCCATGTGACTGGTGGTTACTGTTTTGGACAGTACAGGTAGAGAAAATTTTCATCACTGCAGAAAGTCCTGCTGAATAATGCAGCTCCAGAGTATTCTAACTGCTCAGTTTCTTAACCTTACAGTGGTAAGGAAGAGCCACCTCTTTAAGTTGAGAGTTTTCTAGAGCAGAGTCTGGCAAACAATCTACCCATTTTTGTATATAAAGTTTTACTGGCATACAACCACACCCATTTGTTTAGCTGTTATCTTTGGCTGCTTTTGTGCTACAGTAGCAGAGCTGTTTGTTGAATACAGACTAAGTGGGCCCACAAAGCCTAAGGTATTTAGTGATGTTTTGCAAAAAGCTTTGCACACCTCTTCTCAATAGCCAGTTTCTTCAGCCTCAACACTGTAGTTCTGGTCCAGAAAATTGTTTGTTGTGGAGGGGGGCTATCCTGTGCATTGTGGGATGCTACAACAGCATCCCTGGACTCTACCCACTAGATGCCAGTTGCAGCCTCTAGTTATAATACCAAAAATGTCTCCCATCATTGCCAGATTCCCCTGGGGAGMAAAACCTGAGGTTAAAAAAACCACGAATCTCAAGTGATATGACTTGGCAGCGCATTCACATGTAACACTGCATAGAAGGTTCATTGTAAAAATAAAAATCATTAGAGATGGACACAATTGCGCATACCTGTAATCCCAGGGGCTTGAGATGCTGAGGCAGGAGGATCACAAGTTTGAGGCCAGTCCCAGCAATTTAGTGAGGCCCTAAACAACTTAGTGAGAACCTTCTCTAAAAAAAGAGCTGGAAATGTAGCTCTGAGATAAAATGCCCCTGGGTTCAATCCTTAGTAACAAAAAAAAAAAAAAAAGTGAGAATTAAAATATCAAGTCCTATACAATTTTGTTCAGTTCTTATAAGATCTGGTACTTGAATACTTTTTAGAGGACTTTAAAAGTTGTAAAGATGGCTATTTTAAGAAACTATTCATTTTGTAAGAATATAGGGTACCTTAGCGTATTGGCACAAGTTTTAATAATATGTGCAGTATTTCTAAGTTTTCATTTTGGAAAATAGAGTAACTTGGAATTGGGAAATTGGGGCTGGGGATATGGCTCAGTGAATAGTGCTTGCTGAGGCCCTGAGTTCCATCCCAGTACCACAAAATTAAATATATTATTTATATTTTAAGGAGAATTGCCTTTCAAAGCACATATCAGGTATATCTGAATCTGGTTCTTCAAGTTAAAATGAAATTGGGCATGGTGGCATATCCCAATGATTCAGAAGGCTGAGGCAAGAGGATCTCAAGGACAAAGTCAGCCTGGGCAACTTAATGAGACCCTGCCTCAAAATCTAAGGGCTGGGGAGAAAGGGCTCAGTGGCAGAGCACTTGCCTGCCATGCATGAAACCTTGGGCTTGATTCCTACCACCCACTGCAAAAAAAATTAATTCAAATTTAAAAGTTGTTGTCATTGAAATGCATATGTAATATAGGTCACATATAGTGGTGCACACTTTTATGGAAAGTCATCCTCGTGTAGTTTTAAAAAACTAAGGGGCTGGGGTTGTGGCTCAGTGGTACATGTGAGGCACAGGTTCCTCAGCACCACATAAAAATAAACAAAAATAATAGCAGATAAAGTAAAAAAACACAAACAAAAAAAAAACAACTTTTTTTTTTAATCTAAGAAGTTAAGCAGGTTTTACTGCTGAATTCTGGTTTAGGTGAACTTGCATGTTCCTGTTCCCATGCATGAAGTGCTTGTTTGTTTGTCTGTTTCAGATCTTACCAATATATTTGAATCCTTCCTGCCCCAGTTGTTGGCCTATCCTAACCCAATAGATCCTCTCAATGGTGATGCTGCAGCCATGTACCTCCACCGACCAGAAGAATACAAGCAGAAAATTAAAGGTAAGAAGGTACATAGTTTAAACTGGAGTCAAAAGAATTTAAGTCACTTAAAAGTCTTAAGTTGCTTAGTTCCTCAATTTTTCTCAGACCTAAAAAAAGAGACAGTTGTACTTGCCAACCTCCAGTTTATCATGTAGAGTGCCAATTGGMTTGCCCTTAGGATTTAGAATCCTTTTCTCTCCCATAATTAAGACAGCTTGTATACTAATGGGGCTGAAATTTTATTGAAAGGAAAATATGTGAAAGAAAGCTATAGTTCCAGTGGTCTTACTCATGATCATTGACTTTTTCTTTTCACCTCTGTGTGTTTGAGAACTTTCACATTTGAAAAGTCTAGATACATAAAACTCAATTAAAAAGAAGAAAAATTCAATTGGTGAAAGTGTACCTGCTCTTAACAAATGGCAGGCACTGGTATCCTCCCAGTTTTAATACAACTTGCTCATCTGCAGAGGATCCATGTGTCAGCTTTCTCAAAATGTGTGGGCCTTTGAGATATATTTGTAAGAGACTGCAGTAGTTTTTATTAGAGCTTGAAGATATAGTTCTTATTTGTAGTCCTTAAGTCTTAACTGTGTCAGGCATAAAACAAACAGGAGCATTGTGCGTATTTATTGAACAGTTATTTTCCTCTGTTTGTTTCCTCATTTTCTGTAGTCTCTGTAGGGTATTGTTTGGAGCTTTTCTTTAGATAAAGCAGAAATAAATCTAGTATAATTTACTTAGATCTCAAATTAATATTTAATTTATGTAGCACAGTATCTGCATATCCAAGTGAACAGGTATTCCAAAAAAGAGGCAGTCATTTCAACCAGATAAAGTTCTATTATGAGAACATACTAAAATTTGACATAGGAATCGCTTAACAGCATCTGCAAACCACAGATATCTCAGTGCAGAATATATTTCTATAGCTCTCATATTCATTATGCCTCAGCAGTTTAACATTAGCCTTATTTTTGTGCATATCTTCTCTGGTCCCAGTTACAAAAGGAATCCATTGTTAATTGGTGATCATTTTATCTTCCTGGTGACCTGAGGACTCATGGCCATCAGACCTGAGTGCATCYCTGCTTCCTGCTGTGCCTTTATTATCTAGCCCTCCCACCTTTTCTTTGTCCTCACAGGAATAAGAGGTGTCCCACTTTATTTCTGAAACTCACTCCTCTCACCAGCCTGTGTTTTGTACTCCCCGCTATCCCCTTCCTCTTCTATCCCAGCTGTCAGAGCTGCCCTGTTTCAGAAGCCTTTATCTGCTCATGTGGGGTCCTCTAGGAATCTTGCTATCTATTTCATCTTCAAACTTCCTGCTTCCTTGCCTTAAACTCCATAGTTGTTTCCCCTCTTCTCCTGAATCTGTGACCTCAATTCTTCTGATCCTGTGGACCCATCTCAAGTTCCATTTTCCTCGACCTCTCTGCAGCTTTGATCTTTCACTCTTTACCTTTCTGAAAATTTCTCATTTCACTTGCCAAATGTGACTATTCTCATATGTATTGGTCTTTAGACCCCTCTGTACCCCATTGGGGAGCTATCTACTTCTCTCYGTATCAGGTACTCCTCCAGGTCAATGCGTGTCTCAGCCTGACCCTCTCCCAGGCTGCCTGACAGGCATAGCTGTTGTGTGGCAGTCACCACAAAAGCAGCACATTTACATCACTTCGAACCCTTTCCTGTCCTGGAAACTTGTCAGTGCCATTTTAGAGTGTACATGTGAAATGAAACCTGAAAACAGGTTTAAATATTGAACAGCCTGAAGAACTGGGCACCCTTGGAGCTGTGTAAAGATGTCACTTTCTGCTCAAAAACCTTTACTGAGTGGCATGAAGTGTGCCATTCCAGGTTTTCTGCTACTGAGGTAATCGACATCTTTGCCTTTACTTCTCTAAATGTGTCACTATGTGACAATCAAGTTGGAAGAGTTTCAGACACCCAGATATATTCTTTTTCTTTCGTTAATGGATAATTTCATTGTCATGGATAGTTTCAAATCTATGGAGAAAAACAATTACCATAAACACACCACTGACCTGTGGCAAAACCTCACTATTCTGCCTTATGTACTTCAGATTTCTTTCAAGAAAGAAGACTCAAACAGTTCTCTTTTGTTGCTGTGCTCTCACTCCCAGCCACTTACCTTTTCCAAGCCTTTCTCCTAGAATGGCCTGTCCTATGCTGTAGCTAGCAGAGCTTGGGATCAGTGTGGTTGTGACCTCCCTCCCAGGACCCTCCACTGATTTCTTCCCAAGCTGCTTCCCTGCTGGTGCCTGAGCAGCCTCCCAAGTGCCAGGATTATAGGCCAGCTCTGTCCCTTGACTATACTAAAGAAAGCTGATAGATCAAATTACAATGTCAAAAAACAATGTCAGTGTGACCAATTTCTGTGAAGGAAGAAGCAGAATAGCCAGGCACAAATAAAATTTCTAAGGCTTTAATATTTCTCTCACTCCAAAAAGTAAATTCTTACCTAGATTAGGGCTAGTTAAACTTCATGATCTTGGTATCAAGTTTTGTTAATGAACTTAAAGGGCTTAAAGTTTCAAGTCTGCAAACTTTGTAAAGAAAATATGAAAAATATTCTTAGCTATAGCCCTGTGGTTTCCTAGAAGTTGGCAGTCCATGAAGCCATCTGCCTATCTCCATCCCTGCAACAACATAGTAGAAAAGACAAAACTACAAGGACACGTGATTTTGTGTGTGTCCTGCTTAACATTTGTGTGTGGGTGGGTGGGTGTGGTAGTGGGAATTCAGGTTGCTCTACCATGGAGCTATACCAAACCACTCCCACCCCCACCACCCCCACTTTTTTTCTGAGACAAGGCCTTGCTAAGTCAGTGAGGTTGGCCTCAAACTTGTAATTCTCCTGCCTCAATGTCCCGACTTGCTGAGATTACAGGAGTGCACCATTGTGCCTGAACAGCTTGCAATCTTTTTATCGGGGTAGGGGTTACTGGGGATTAAACTCTGAGGTACTTTACCACTGAGCCATTTGCAGCTCAATTTTTTTATTTTAAAACAGGGTCTCACTAAGTTGATTAGGGCCTCACCAAGTTTCTGGGGCTGGCCTTGAACCTTAGGATCCTCCTGCCTCAGCCTCCCAAGTTGCTGGGATTGCAGGCGCATACTACTGGCACCAGCTTGCATTCTTGATGTGATTTGTACTGTCTGCCTGTCTCTTCATATTGTGTGTGATTTACTTGAAAACAGTGTGCAGTTTTAGGAACATGTTCATTGTTTATTCAGCAGTTCTTAAATTCTTTTTCAGCCAGTAGACTGAGACTAGGCACTAGCAGCATAAATCTTCAGGTGAATAATGCATGGTAAAATCACGCAGAGGCTCCTGTGCCTCCAAATAGCAGCTCATTCTGATGAACAGTCTGGGAGATGATTTTTGCTGGCTGCTTCCAAAATCTGACAAGCAGGATCTGTGTAAAATAAATAATAATAGATCTAGCTGTAATTATACAACTGCAAATCTGAAAACGATGGGGATTTTCTGATAAATTTCTGTGGAATCCTAACTAGTCCTGTTGTATCTGGGGTGTGAGTCGCTTTATTAACATCAAAGTAAAACATATCAAGTGTGGAGAAATATCATTTCTCCCACCCCTCCAGCATTCCAGGATGGTGATGAAAGGTAGTTATCCTTCTGAAAATCAAGTATTCCGTGTTGCCACTGCCATCTCCCCTGTAGGATCCCCCTTAGCTACAATGACCACACTAAATGTCATCTTGTCGCTCCTGCTATAGAAGAGGAGTCTGAACCTCTGTGGGAGTTGACAGCATTGGGGTCACTAAAGCACATGTCTGCCCACTCACCTACTGGTGTTTTCTTTCCCCCACCCCATGCAGAGTACATCCAAAAATATGCAACGGAGGAGGCCCTGAAGGAGCAAGAAGAGGGCACTGGTGACAGCTCATCGGAGAGTTCTATGTCTGACTTTTCGGAAGATGAGGCCCAGGACATGGAGTTGTAGTAGAAAAAGCACCTGCTTTTCAGAAAGACTATTATTTCCTAACCATGAGAAGCAGACTATAATATTCATATTTAAACAAAGCAATTTTTTTTATTACTAAACAAGGTTTTTATGAATAATAGCATTGATATATATATATTATATATCACCCTTTAGATCTTGATTTCTTGGTCATTTCTCAACCTGAGGTGCATAGCATATTCCCACATTCCATTTTGGTAGCAATATGCGGTCTGAATGCATGCATTCATAAGTCCATTTGGCCAAGTCAGCCTATGTGCTACTGAACTGTCAAAAGAAATAGCCGCTCGATAGGTAGACATGAGTAAAACTAACAGGAAAAAGTTGCTTCTTTTATTGATGGTTCCAAAGAAACAAACCAAACCAACCAGCTCTTGGACATGAAGATAGAATAGTGCTTTTTCAAAGTGGAAAGGAAAAAATTGGGGAGGAAGAGGCCTGCTGTGGGAGCATGTAGAGCCAGCCGTGTACGAATCAGCTGCTCCTCCGAGAGTCCTCAGTGGGCCCGTTTCTGTGGAGTAACAGTGTAAAACAGGGAGCCAATTGGAGAATTGAAACTTAAAACATCTTTTTGACTGATTTTAAGTACGTTTTTATACATAGATTCCTGCCCTTCACGCTACCAGACCTGTGGCCACAGCATTTTGTTTTGGAGAAGCTTTTGGAAGTGTTTTCTGAACCCAATTCTTTTTCTTGGGGTACAGCTTGTAATCCAGACCTTTTTTGAGTGAACAGGAGGAGAAAAGTGACTGGAAGATGCTTCCTCTCATCCAACAGTGAAAAGTCACATCCTAGTGTTGGGCCAGCTTGAGACCACGGCCCTGGACTAAGAGCTTTAAACTGGAGGGGCTTGTTGTTTGTTGGTGGTGGTTTTTTGTTTGTTTGGGGTTTTTTTTGTTTTTTTTTTTTTTTGTGTGTGTGTGTGTGTGTGTGGTGTTTTTTGTTGTTGTTTTTTTTGTTTGTTTTTTTACTGTTGGTTTTTTGGTTTTTTGGGGTTTTTTTTTTTTTGGTGTGTGTGGATGTGTGTGAGAATTGTGCTTAGACAGGTAACAAACTTAAACTTCACCTACCAAGAGATGGTCTCCTCGCTGGACAAGCCGCTCAGTGGACTTTTAGACCTGGGAAGAAGATCTGCCTGGTGGCCGCAAGGCCCTGGGCTCTCTTTAATGCTTGGGTTTTGTTTTCTCTCCTGCTGCTGCTCCTGGCAGCAGCCTGGTCATCATATGCTTGTGGGAGTGGGAAATGAGTATTTCAGACCCAACACACATGCTAAATTTAAGATGCATAATAATTGGAACAAATAAAGTTTCTTGTACCCAAAGTGGCTCTACATGGGAAAAACCGCTGTCTTCGGAGAGTGACTGACAAGGAAGAAGGGATCCTGAAACATGCACTAGTAGGGTGGGTTGTGAAGGAAGGTCTCTTTCTGTCCTGGGTGGGTTCAGAGCAATTCAGTTTAAAATGCCTGCTAGTCTCGTGTTTGCTCACCTAACCCTGCGTCCAGGTTGCGGTGGAATTTTCTTTCAAATCTGAGTGTTGCCTGCTGTATCTGGAGGGGAATTTGGAGACATTATAGACAGCAGCTCCCCACCCCTGCCCTGCAACCAGTAGGACAAAAGCAGAATTAGTCAATCCTAAAAGCCTCTAAAGACAACTTTTGAGTATCCCTGGGATAATTTTTCTTTCTGATGTGTGTCTTTAGTTTAGAAGTGCTGTATTCCACAAGGTTTAAGTCAGTGAGGTTGGAAGAATACCCTATTTTTTTTTAATTCAAAAAGCACAATCAATCTTTTCTTTGAAAATCTATAAAGTACAACTTGCTTTTAGCATGATTATTTTCCTAAATAAAAAGACACAGAATTTACTAATTTTATGTTAATTACGGGCATGAAGGCAAAAGGTTTTCTTTTTGAAAAATGCAGTTCTGTAGAGCTGTGGTTAGTTAACTATACTGACTATTGCTAGCATTTGTGGCGTGTTGGAAGGGTAGTATTAACTATTTAACATGTGATGGTGTACTTGACCTGGCTTGCTGTCTTTTCATGGCCTTGCGGGAGGGAGGGTCTCTGCCAGCCCTGTGGGACCTGCTTCCCTGCACTTTAGCAGTTTGCTTGTTCTGTAGCCTTTACTGTAGGTGCTACTTAGAGTAGGCTTGAAGTGCTGGGTGATGATTTGAGTTCAAACAATAAATTGTATTTTTTCAATATTGTACAAACAATAGTGTTCTAATTACCTTTCCAAAAAAATAATAATAATTGGTTGATCTTGTCCAAGAAAAAAAAAATCTCTAATAGAACAAAGTTTAGGGAAGGTCTGTGAGCAGCGTCACAGCTCTGCCCCTCACTGGAAAATCATCTCCACTTTGCTTCAGGGAAAAGCCATCAGCTTGCCTGGCGTGAAGTGGCAGCAGTCCGGGGCTGATAGTGCGGGATTTCCACGTGAAGACAGGTGGGGGCTGCAAGGGCTAAGCAGCAAGTCTTGAGTGTGGTTACGGAGTGTGCGGGAGTGCGTGTTTTTGAGTTTGTGGGGAAGGTCTAATTGGGCTTCTGTTAGCAATGGAAGCTCCTGTGATTCCCACCCAAATCACACTACCCTGGTTCTGTGCACTAACCCCATCTTGGCACTAACCCTGGTCGCAGGCATGTTTTGGCACTCKGCCTTTTCCTCAGCTCTGGTAAATTGGCTTTTGGTAGGTTGGAAGGATCTCTTCTGTAACACTGCTCCTTCCCAGCTCCTGGGCAGGGTGGAATAGGAGCTGATACAGGTGGTACAGAAAAGGAAGAAGGCCTGGCTGGGTCTCTAAGTTGCTCACCTATGAGAGGAGTTAAATCTGCAGTAGAGGGGGGGGGGGGTTACAATACCAAAAGCCTTTCAGAACTGTCCAAAAGTGTCCCTTCTAACACTCGAGTCTCCAGAGATGGTTCCAGGGTGTTGGGGTGTGTGTGTGTGTGTGTGTGTGTGTGTGTGTGTGTGTGTGTACTCTGCTGAACATGCTTGGCTTTAGAGGCAATGGAAGTTGGTCAAAAGCTGCATCTGGAAATTACTCTTGGTACCCATAATTTTTGAAATCATAACTGGTTTACCAGCACACACTATCCTTTGCCCCTATTTAAATGACAGCTCAAGCTCTCACCAAGCACTAAGGAGCCAGGTGACTGTAGCCCTGCAGCATGAACCCAATGCCCTCCAGAAGCCCAGCATGGTGACCATTGGGCCATGTTCAGCGGTAGCCAATCAGACACTGGCGTTTGAGCTTGTCTTCAGTCTCGTCACCCTTCTTGAGGTTACTGTGCATTTTCAACCAGCATTTTCTACTAGTGAGATAATTATCAAAGTTGCCATATAAACTCTCCAATGCTGATACTTTTCATCCACTTCAAAAACTGTTCTAATTGCCAACTGGCTAATCTAGGCTGCGGAGGAGTGTCTCCCCTTGAAGGAATTTTGCCCTCAAAAAGGCTCCCTGAAGCCCTAGATGGCCTTGGCCTGACGCTTGCTTTTCCTAGGCCTCCTGCTGGGATGGCCRAGAATCATGACAGGCCCTCTGCTAGCCTCTGTGGGTCAAGTTCCTAGGCACATGTTTCTGGGAACTACTTTTTGATTTTAAATGGCATGTGGCCCTTTAATGTTTTAGTGACTCGATTAGAAAAGTGAAAGCCATTTACAAAAGTGAGCAAGAGTTTTACTTCATTTCATCAACTTCCTAACTGGGTTCACAGCCTTGTTGAGTAAAATCAAATCAGATTCTGATTGGGCACAAAGAACTGCATTTCTCTGGACTTCTGAATCCATGTTCATACTTCCTCTGGCCACTGGACACCTTGTGATCCCGCCAGGGACTGGATGGAGTGGAGCCCTCTGGGGCAGGAGGGGTTTTGCTCACCTGAGGAAGGGCCAGGGCTCTTAATTTAGCAGATACTCATCTTGGCTGTGGGCTTGGGAAGAAATGGCCATTATTTACTGATTGTATTTGGTACATATTGTGTGATACTTGAAGAGAGAAAAGGGACTTACCAGCCCTTCATTGAAATCGAAGCTTTTTATTGCTTATTTTTTCCTTGCCCCATCTCCTTCCTTTCACCTTTTTCCTTGCATTGTGATGATCTTGTGGCATGTCTGTCACCAAGACAAATGCCTCCTCTGACTATAACCTCTTAATAGTTGTGTATAATTAAAACTGTAAACTTTTTTTAAATAAAATGTGTATATACCTTGGCAAATGGCTGGACCTTGATCAATAAGAYAAGACCCCCATGATGTCTCTGAGCCCCGTGGCACACGCCTATAATCCCAGCAGCTCCGGAGGCTGAGGGAGGAGTTTTCAAACCAGCCTCAGCAATGGCACTAAGCAACTCAGTGAGACCCCATCTCTAAATACAAGATAAGGGCTGGGGATGTGGTAGAGTCCCTAAATTAATTCCCTGGTACCTAAACAACCTGCTGTTCCTCCAGCTCCTCTGAACAACTTTTATAAGACAGTTGACCGGATTAGTGTGGGAAGAGAATGTGTTGCCCACAGGTAATAATAACCAGGAGGCCCTGCCCACAGTTCTGTCCTCAGATAAGGATGGCTGTTGGCTAGAAATAGGGCTGAGAAGAGTTTCCACTAGTACCTTGAAAAGCCATCTCTTCTGGGAGGATCAGCCAAAACAGTAGTTTCTCGGCTCTCTGCCAGCTTCCACCCTGCCTCAGGTGGGACAGCAGCTGGTTTCCCCAGTGAGCCATCGCTGCCTTAGACCAACTGGACATTCCTTCCTAGTACGCATGCCCTTGATGACCGCCAGATGGCGATGCTGCTCAGGCAGTCTGACCAGCACTGCCCGTGCGTGGCTTTGTTAAAAAGCTGTAAAACAAAGGGAAGAATTTTCGTTTGGTTTCCTGCTCTTTGCCCATCCCCTCTTCCACTTTCCCCTTCGTTCATTCCCCAAATTTTCTTTCTCCCTGCATGGTTGTGTGTTGCAGTTGGTGCTCACCAACCCCCCCCACCAGAGGTCGGGCCACCAGAGCTGTTAGTTCTAGTCCCTTCCAATTACCAGCGGTGACCTTGAGCTCCTGGATGGAGCTTCAGTGAGCCTCAGGCATTCAGCTGTACAATGAGAGGTCTCCAGACTAGTGCTTCTGACACCTGTGACTCCAACTCCGTGCTCCAAAGCACCATATCTCAATCTCCAGAGGACACTACATGAATCCTCGGGATACCAGTTTCAAGACAGGTAGCGTTAAACCCCAAGAGCTTTGGGAGTTTTGAGCATCCGCTATTCAACTGACAAAGGAAGAAGAGAAGCCTGGGTCACATGACCCATCCCTCTGCTTAAACAAGATCCAGGGCAGCTCCTCTGAAACTACCCCAGAAGCAGTCTCTGCATTCACTGGAGCTTGGTGCCCCTTCCCTCCCCACCCAGTGAGA